GTTGGTTTTTGTTTTGTTTTTTTCCACTCTACTGCCAAAGAGTATTTACAGTTTGGCAAAAGAGACAGATATGATTCAAATAATAGCAGGAAGTGAATAAAGAGAAGGGCAGGGAGAGGGCTAAATATAAAATCACCAGTGATGCAATACTGTCACTAAGGGCAAGTGGAAACCTCTGGCTGTATTTTCACCCTTCCCAGAGCCCAGAGACCAGAAAGAGGCCAATAGGTGAGGACACGGGCAAATCTAAGGCTAGAATTGTTTTTTAAAATCGGTATGTTTTTGTACACATGCATGCTTTATATTTTCCTGACTCTAATTTTATTTTTATGTTAATTAATGGGTACGTGACATTTTTATAATAAATATATATAACATATTTTCATCTTATTCATTCTCATACACTTTTTTACCCCATTCCCACAATGCTCTCCACTTTCCCGACCAATCCTTCTTCTACTTTCATATCTCTCTTTTTTTGTGACTTTCTCCCTCTGTAGACCTGGCTGCCCCTGAATTCACTATGCAGCCCAAGCTAGGCTTGAACTCATGGAACTCCTCCTGCCCCCACCTCCTGGGTGCTGGGATTACAGGTACACACACAGCAAATGCTACCTCTTCTGCTGTACTTACTGTTGTTGTTTTGCAATTCCAGGAATTGAAGCCAGGGCCTGGCACACATACTGGGTGAGGGCTGTAGCACTGAGCTACATCTCAAGCCTTTTTCTTTTATTATTTTTGTTGCTGGTATCTCAAGAGTCTTGGTCCACCGGTCAATAACACTAACTGTGGACAAATCAGCCAGCGTCTCCGCCCCTTGGTGTCCTTCGCTGGGAATTGAAGAAGTTGAATGAGGGCATATTTTGCTGCAGGGGGAGTCTACTGCTCTGGGTCTGCCCTGCCAGTCCTGTAAGACTACCAGCCCTTGGAAGGCAGAGCATACCTTTTCCCGGCTTCTTTTCTCCAGTTCACGAAGAAGCTTAGTTTGGATGGTGACTCAGTTAAAACTACTAGCTTCCCCCTTCCCAGAGTTTCAGCTGATGCATACGTGCATGGTGGTTGGATGGGGTGGGGGAGGCTCTGTTCTGAGCTATAAGACCTCTGTTGGAGCCAAATGCATAGTTGTGAGGACAGCAGTCCTGGGTTGCTCAGAGGGCAGAGGTGGGGAGCCAGAATCCACCCCCCCAAACATTTAAGTGAATACGCCCAGAGGGAAAACCCAAAGTACATATGGAAGGATGACAAGGTAAGCAAGGACCAATGACACAAAAGCAGTCCTTTAACTAAAGAGCCTTTATTTATTAGAAGAGAAGGGCGTATAAGCAGCAGATTATAAGCATCTACAAGTCTGCTCTTCGCAAAACCACCTAAAACAGGATTGCAAAATTATGCATTGTTCTCTGAGACAGAAGAAGGCAAGGAAGTGCCGGTATGTGTTTATAGTTGTTGTGATCTTCCGCTCACTGTCCTGAGCTCTGCTTGTTAAGGTCCTTAAGTAGTTCAGTCACAGGGACACTCAGGCTGCTTCCTCCTTTCTTCTGTCAACCCGAGATCCTCTCTCGGAAGGGTTAGGGTGAGTGGAAAGAGTGTAGGTGCTCTGTAGCAAGAGGCCGACAGTACCGGGGTCTCTACGCGCCACTCTGAGATCCCCTTGCTGGTCTCCGGAGCTACTTTCCGGCTCCTGCCACCACACTTGATCTGCCTCATCTCCTCAGGCAGCAGAGTTCCCACACACAGGGGCACCTGTGCGCCCTGTTCTGCCCTCTGCCAGACACCTCCGAGTCTTCCGCGGGCTTACATACACTCCAGGGCACTTGCAAATTCTGTACAGGAGTCAGGACCCTAGGCCTCATCGCCAGAGTGGGGAAAAAACAGGGTGTTGAGTATTTAAACTCTTTTTAGCCCCTCCTCTGCCACAGTTCATTTTTCACATTACTTCAGACTAAAAACACCAGACAGCAGGCTTTCTGTTTCCTGAACATCCTGTTTCCTTTTCCCACTCAGGAAATCTCAAGCCATCACAAACAAAAGTGACTCCTCTAAAACATTAAAAAATAATAATAACTGGGATCTGGTCTACAGGCTGCTCCACGATATGACAGAGGGACAGATAAAAGGAATTATAACACTCGTTTGTCCTTTACATAGACTAGCTATTAAGGTTTTCAGCTTCTTACTAACTTTAAAACACAATTTTAAATGCCAAGAGCTACAAGCTGATTTTCCCTTCTGCTGGAACAATAGCTTTCTGGAAGCAGACAGGTGTCTCGAGTTGTCTACGCAAAAGTCACACACTCAGAGATAGAAAAGGACAATTTTTTTACAGGTTTCAGAACATTATCTGTAGTTCCACCAGGATGCCCTCCCTGGCTCAGATGAGCAGCATGGTGTTGCTTCAGTCTTAGGAAACTGGCCTAGCTGGGCTTGGTCCAGTTTGCAAAAAGCATAGGTAGAGACAGTTGCTGTGCTTCCAAAGCTAAGACCAGGGATAAAAGTGAATGATGGGGAGTTTTGAAGCCAGGTGTGGTAGCACCTGCCTGAAATCCTAGCATTTGGAGATTGGAGGAGAAGAATCAGGAGTTCAAGGCAATAATGAGAACTTCTCTCAAAAAGAAAAAGAAAAGAAAAAGAAAAAAAGAGTTTTGGTCTTACAGGAATAAAATGAATGAAAAAGAAAGGAAGGGAAGGCAACCTCGAAAAGGAGGGAGGCTGTGGGGACTGTTGGGACAACCCTGGCACCAAGCCTGCTGACCTGAATTCAATACCTGGGACCCACATGGTAGAAAAAGAGAATCAACTCCCCCAAGTTGTCTTACACACACACACACACACACACACACACACACACTAAACTATAATTTTTGTCTTGTTTTTTGAGACAGGGTTTCTCTGTTTAACAACCCTGGCTGTCCTAGAACTCACTCTGTAGAACTGACTCACCTCAAACCCAGAGATCTGCCTGTCTCTGCCTCCTGAGTGCTGGGACTAAACCTTTTTATTGTAAAAGGTTATGGGAGAAGGACTCATGAGGCCTCACCTCTTCTGAAAGAGTTAGCTAATTCATGGTTGCTGAGGGGAGACACAGTCATGTTCCTTGGTGGTGTAACCACGGGAAGGTTACCCACCCTCCACCAATGCTCATGCAAGCAACCCTAATTAAACTCACTCACTCACACACACACACACACACACACACACACACACACAAGACAGAACAAAACAGAGCTAAATAAACAAATAACTTACTTAGCTTATTTTCCAGTCCCCTCCCAGCTTCAGAGAGCTGTTTCTTTGCTTCCTTGCTTGGCCATCCCCTGACTTCCCCCAAAAAGGTATGAAATTGGCAAGAGGCCTTATTGGGAAGGTATTCCCAGAAGGACTGGGAGGGAATTAGAGAAGGTAATGGGGAGAGGGGACAAGAATATACTATATAAATGTATGAAATACATGATTTGCTTTTTAAAAAGGGAGTGGGCTGTTAAAACAGGGCATAGCGGTGTACACCTGGAATTCCAAATCTTGAGACTTGGTAGAAGGAAGATCAGGAGCCCCAAGTCATCTTCAACTATATAGAAAGTTGATACCCAACACCCTGTCTCAAGAACAAAGACAAACAAAAAAATGTGGAAAGGGCTTTACATTGCCACCTGCGTACTGCTAGTGAGACTATAAATGATTTAGGTTCTTTGGAAAACAGTTTGGGTGTTCCATAAAAACTTAGAAATAGGTGTGGTGGGTTTGGTGTCACCTACAAAGCATATCCATAATAGGCAAATCCACATAGACAGAAAGTCGATCAGTAGTTAATGGGGCTGGAGGGAAGGAGTATAGTGAGTGACAGCTAAGAGAATGAGTCTTCTTTGAAGAGAACTAACTGGAATTGGATATTTGTAAGCGTTTCAGAATCTGGTGAAAATACTAAAGCCAGTGAACTATACATACTAATGTGAATTTCCTGACATATGAATTATATCTTAATTTAAATGTTTTAAACATAAAAAGAAGGGAAAAAAGCAAGACAGTGTAGAGTAGCCCTCAACGTTTAAGTCTATCAACACAGACTAGTTTTGACTTTAAGATTAAATACATTCACCTATAACTAAGAAAAATAATATAGAAATGAGATGTCCTTTTCGATGTTTTGTTTGGTTGGTTGATTTGGGTCTCTGTTTTATTCTGATTTGTTTTGTTGAGGTGGGGGTCTCACATTGTAGCCCAGTCCAGCCTGGCACTCATGATGTAGCCCAAACTTGCCTCCAACTCCCAGCAATGTTCCAGAGGCTCAATTCTCCAAGTTCTGGAATCACAGGCATGCATCACTATGCCTGTTTTGGTTTTTTTGAAACAGGTATCACTGTGAACCTTAGGTTGGTCTTGAACTCACAATCTTCCTGCCTCTGCCTCCTTGGTGCTGGGATTACAGGTATACACCGCCACACTCAGCCTGCAATGCTTTCTCCTTAATGAAGCACTTGCTGAGCATTCTATACCATAATCTTCACAGTCTTCCCCACAACACCTCCAAGGAGGCTATTGTTTTAGCCATTTTACAGAGGTAAAATCAAGGACCCAAAGATATTGAGTCTTTTATGAGCATTTTAGGAGAAGGCACCGCCATTGAGGGGGTGAAGGAACAGACTTGAGAGACAGGAGGACGCACTAGGCTGTTACACTGATAGCAGAACCCCAGGCTGCTGGATTGTGGAGCATTACCCTCATCCTGGCTCTGACGGGTTCTAGAACACTGACTGGATGTAGGGGAATGACAGAGTGACCTCTGGGAAGATGCCCCCGACATCTCTCTGAACCTGAGATAGAGCATCCCAACTGGAACACATGTGAAAGTAACAGAACCCAAGCCTTTTCCAACCGTCTTCCCTTGGGGTTTTCCACTTCTTCGGCAATTCTTTCTGGTCTCTCATTTCCCGAGATACCCCAAAGCGCCTCCTCCACCCTCCCTCCACCTTTTCTCCCTTATTAGAAGTCTGTCCTGAAGCGGAAGGAGGAGTGTGAGGTGGAGCCATGTAGGTTGGGTCACTGAGCCCGGATCTTCGTCTGCGTGGGAGTGGGGCTTCTTGCAGACAAGCCAAGAACCGCTGGACCACCAGAGCCCAGTGCGATGGAACATGCAGTGGAGATTATCATGCCATGGAGATACCCCTGTCCAAACTAGGGGGGCGAAGGACTTGGAAACTAGAAAATGCTAGATCTGAGCGAAGCGAGACAAGAGAACAAGGCCAGCAACACACAGAGCTCTGTGTATTCAGAGGGAAGTTGGCAGGGTTGTGCCCGGGCAGAGAAACTCCGAGTGGTACAAAGAGACGTGCCCGGAGTGGAGAAATCATGCTAATTTTCTGCACCAGAGCTGGAGAACGCCACCCAAAATGAAGAGAGAAAGGGGAGCCCTGTCCAGAGCCTCCAGGGCCCTGCGCCTCGCTCCTTTTGTCTACCTGCTTCTCATCAAGCCAGGTAGGAGACCAGAAGGGTCTGGAGAAAAGAACTTGGGGCTTTTGGCGGAGAGGGAGGGGGAAGAGCAGAGCCTGAGTACCTTCAGGGCTGGAGGAGGGGAGAGAGCTCGGTGGCGGTGGGAAGCATCTCAGTGAATCAAGGAATCAGTGTTGAATATATCTCTTCATTCCCTGTGCTTCCTGCCTGGCCCGTGGCCCCTTGCCCCCTCCCCCAAAGACTGCATAACTTTGGAGCGCCCACGGCATTCAGTACATTAGCTGGAAGGCATCATGCCACTTCTTATGGGATGACTTGTTGGTGTGGGCCTGTCCAGCATTCTTTTTAAGGGATTATGTGAGCTCTTGGTGGAAGGAGGAGGGGAAATCTTGGTTTTGAGGCTCCCAAACCACCACCCTGGCTTCTCTGAGTGTCAAGCAGCTTGAAAGATAAAAGAAGCTTTGTTGATAATGAGCCTTCTGGTTTAGGATAGTATTCTATTCATAACTCACTGCCAGCCACAGATGCCTACCTCTTGTAATGCCCCCTATCAACTCTGTGGAGAAACGATCTTTTTTTAAATACTGTAGATGTATTTATGTGTACATACACACAATGACAGGGAGCCCAAACATGCATGTTTTAATGTGGCAAGCAGATACATAGATTGCTTTAGCAAAAAGCAGGAATCAGAAAAAAAAAGTCACCTGCCTGCATCCAGGAAGCCGTTGCTGGTGGGGCAGGATGCGGGTGGGTGAGAACCAGGGAATGTTTCCTTGTAGAAAGAATGTTTGGGCTGAATCTTAGAGGATGAGAAAAATAGGTAGGAGCATGAGTGAGATTATTGTTGGGAAATGGGCAAAGGTCAAGAGCTTGAAATAGTCTCGTGCGTTTAGGCGGAGCCCAGAACTTCAGCATTGCTGAGAGAAAAGTATGAATTGAGTTCAGCAGAAGCCTTGTAAACCTTTCTCCGAAGATGGGAGATGGTCTATAAATGATGGGTGGGGAAATCGAGTGAACTTTAATTTGGTGACTGGCAGGATCAGATACACTTTTTGGATTCCTTAGTCTTCGATGGAGCACTGAAGGAAAAACGAGGCAAAATAGAATAGAATAGAAGCCCCTTACTTCTTCTGAGGTGATGAAACAAAACGACACAAAGTAGGTGGCTTAGGTAGCAGAAAGTGGTTGGCTTGCAGTTCTGAACAGCAGGTGCTAGAGATCAAGGTATCGATAGTGCCACACTCCCTCTGAAAGCACTAAGGAGGGATCTGGCCCAGGCCTCTTTGGCTTGTGGCAGCAAAATTCCAGCCTTCAGGTGGCGTTTTTCCTGTTTGCGTGTCTGTGTTCAAATGTCCCCGTTTTACAAGGACGTGGGCGGAAGTGGGCCCACCCTACTCCAGTGTGACCTCATCTTAACTCCTTGGCTCTGGGAAGACCTCATTGCCAAAAGAAGTCCTGTTGTGAGATGTGGAACTTGGGGATGAGGACTAGTAGAACACCAGGATTTGGGTTTGAGGAGATATGCTTCAGCCCACAGCAAAGCTATTTCTAATTAATATTATGTTAATAAGATTTTAGTTATGAGCCAGGCATGGTTGTGCATGCCTGTAATCTCAACATTTGAGAGGTAGGAGGAGGAGGATCAGGAGTTGAAGGTTATCTTTGGTTACATAGTGAGTTTGAGTCCAGCCTGGACTACATGAGATCTTGTCACAAACAATATTAGTTATAACCCATGAGAGCTAAATGTTTGGCCATAGGCTATCATACTGCTGTTTTAACAAGCAGTAAGAGTGGAGATTCTGTTATAAATCTCTGCCACCTTTGCTGTATTATTTAGGAAAACGTCAGCTTCTGTAGCAGATAAATTCAAATTTTAAGTTCTTGGCATTAATTATGTGTCAGTACAATGAAGGGCAGACTAGGCCTGGGAAAGGGAGGATGACATTGTGTAGGGTTCTCAAGGAATACACTAAGCTGATGGGACTCTGCTTCAAGTGTGGATCACCGTGGGGTTTGTCTCTATTTAGTCCAGGTAGAGAACTTATTTGTTTGTTTGAGATGGGGTCTTTTAATTCTGTAGCCCTGGCCGGCCTGGAACTTACTATGTAAACCAGACTGGCTTCACACTCATGGAGTTCTATCTGTCTCTGCCTCCTGAAAACAGTAATTAAAGGCCTTGGCCATCATGTCTGGCCAAACAGAAAACTAAAACAAAACAACACAACAACAACAAAAATTTAACAAATACAATGAAGAGACATATAAAGGAAGTTTTTACAGAATAAGTCTCTTGAGTGGTATATCACTTCCACTAATTCTATTGGCTAGAACTTGTCACATGGTCATGCCTAACTGCAAAGGAAGCTGGGAAATGTAGTATTAAAATTGGCATGATGCAGGCTGGAGAGGTGGGAGGCTCAGTTAAGAGTGCAGGCTGCTCTTGTAGAGAACCTCGGTTTGATTCCCAGCACCCACACGGTGGCTCACAACCACCCACGATTCCAGTTTCAGGGGATAGGATGGCTTCTTCTGACCCCTGCAGGCACTGCACACATGTTATACATATATGTACATGCAGGCAAAACACTCATACACATAAAACAGAATTCAGGCTCTGATGTTTACAAATAAGGCTTTTTCTGACACAGCCTGCCTCTCTTTGTTTTCACATTTATTTGCTTATTTTGTGGGAGTCAGGACACATAACTGTAAAGGTCACAGGACAAGTCCCAGGACTCAGTTCTTTCTTTCCACTTTGTGGGTCCCAGGTTATCAGGTTTGGTGACAAGGTCTCTTACCCACTAAACCATCTGGCTGGCCCCAAATCAGGCCAAATTCGGTCTTCTTAAACTCACCATAGCACAATTTACAGAACATGTAAACAAGACTTACCCAGAAGCTAGAGTGTTCACAGAGATAAACATTAAAAGACACACTCCAAACTTTGGAGGCTTCCTTCTCTGGACTCTTCCTCTCCTCTGCCTGGTTTCTGTGCTGAATTTGGGAGAGCGGGTAGATATTAGAACAGTCTGACACTGTAGTCCAGGTCAAACTTGAACTTAAGGCAATCCTCATGCCTCAGCCTCCTAAATTCTGGGACTAAAAGTGTAAGCCATCACACCCAATATATTTTTTGCCTAAATTCACTACTATGTTGCAGTGGTGATCCTTTTCAGTTTAAGAAATAATGTGATTGAAAAATCTAATAGAGGAAAATGCCGTTAGCATGAGGATATAGTTCGATATGCCCTTAACAAAGTAAGCAAACCCATATAATCATTGCTTAGATAAAGAAACGGACATGGATAGGTTGGGGGCATACAGTTTAATCTCAGCACTTGGGAAGCAGGGACAGGAGAATCCCTGTGAGGCCAGCCTAGTTAACATAGCAAATTCCAGGCCAGCCAGGGCTACATAATGGGACCCTACCTAAAAAAAAAAGGCTGTATTTCAGTTGCTATGTTAGTCACTGAAACAGACACCTTCAGAGCGTACTCCTAGATTGATGTACCTTCAAAAGGCCTTCATTTCCAGAGTAAACTTTAAACTTTATGGTACAAGCTGAGCATGCCTGGAGGCATTCCTATTATCACTTTAATCTTCTAAACATGAACTCCATATCATATTGAGTATACCTAGGGGTATGCTCCCTCAGTGATAAATCTTGGGATTGGGCCAACCTCTATAAGAGCATGTGTAGGCTCCCTGAATGAAATCACTTCTCTTCCTTTGTTCAAGGAGGGCATTGCTTTGAAAATAAATCCTATGTTTTCCTTCCCCGCTTCAGGTAATAAATCTTTCTCCATTCCACTTTTATGTCTTGGCTATGTTTATTTTGGCTTTGCACTCACCAAGATATGAACCCAAGTAGTTTGTGTTGCCGGTTACTACAGAAGCCAATGGCAGAGGCAGGAAGTGAATCTTTAAGAAGCACTTTATTCAGAGCGCCAGCAATCTAGGAGGCCAGAGTATCATCATCCCCAAATCTGCCTTACTCAGACCATCAACTAGCCCATTTTCTAGGGAACAAGAACAAAGGCAATTAATCATTCCAAACTTGAGTCTGGTCCCTCCGGTCAGGCCTTATTTTTATAATCATGGTGTCGTTACTTTTCTTCTTATTTCTTCCCTCGATGTTTCCCCATCTTCATCTCTCTCTCTCTCTCTCTCTCTCTCTCTCTCTCTCTCTCTCTCTCTCTCTCTCTCTCTCTCTCTCTCTGTAGTGGGGGATTCACAAATTCCTAAGACCACTGACGCTCACATTCCTCCCATGTGACCATACAAGTTACAGAGTGTACATGTAGAATCCCGTTGACATTATGCACACTGCATGTGTGCTCTTGTAATATAGAATACAAAGTAGCCCTACCTGTCCCTTATCACACAGTCACTTGGTTCCACTGCTCTTGGGCCTGTGCTCGATGTGACAGAACATCACAATGTCGGGGAACATGTGAGAGGGTAAAGCAGTTCATGGCAGACAGAAGGTAGGGACAGACAGGAAGGGGCCCGGCAAGACATGGTCCCAGAGACTTACTCCTCCAACCAGGCCCTACCTTTTAATAGCCCCTTTAGGACAAACCATTGATGAATTAACCCATCCATGAAGCTAATACCTTCATGAGCCAATCATCTCCCACTCTTCTTATCCTCATTAGTATGAAATGGAATCAAAGTCTAGTTTTAAAGTTACATTTCCGAGATATTCAAGTTGAGCTTTTCTCATGGTTTTTTTTTTCTTGGTTTTTTCGAGACAGGGTTTCTCTGTGTAGTTTTGGAGGCTGTCCTGGCACTCGCTCTGTAGACCAGGCTGGCCTCAAACTCACAGAGATCTGCCTGCCTCTGCCTCCCAAGTGCTGGGATTAAAGGCGTGCGCCACCAACGCCCGGCTTTTTTTTTTTTTTGGTTTTTCTCATGTTTTTATCAACCAATTGGATATGTTTTTTTCTAAAGTACCTGTTCCAAGTCTTTATTTATTTATTTATTTATTTATTTTATTATTTTCGTGTGTTGTGTGT